TTTTTTGAGAAAGAGTCTTGCTCTGTTGCCCAGGCTGGAGTGCAGTGGCACAATCTTGGCTCACTGCAACCTCAGCCTCCTGAGCAGCTGGGATTACAGGCGCCTGCCACTACGCCTGGCTAATTTTAGTATTTTTAGTAGAGGCGGGGTTTCACCACGTTAGCCAGGCTGGCTGCCAACTATCGACTGTAAGTGATCCACTCACCTTGTCCTCCCAAAATGCTGGGATTATAGGCACAGGCCACCACACCTGGCCAATTTTAGTATTTTTAGTAGAGGCAGGGTTTCACCACATTGGCCAGGCTGGTCTCGAACTCCTGACCTTCTGATCCAACTGCCTTGGCCTCCCAAAAGTGCTGGGATTACGGGCATGAGGCACTGCGCCTAGTTTCCTTCTTGTTTCTTCTTGTTTCTTCTTCTTTCTTCTTTCTTCTTTCTTCTTTCTTCTTCTTTCTTCTTCTTCTTCCTTTCTTCTTCTTTTATATAGCTGGATAATCAGTGTCAAGCTTCCATTGCTTTTGATGGTCTGACCTAGTCTGGGGGTGGGTGGACTGGGCTGAGCTCTGACGGGCTCCAGCTTCAAACAGTCGGCTGGAGCTTGGAGGTCACAGACTCCTATGCATCTTTTCCAAGGTGCTTCCGCAGATGTACTTATTAATCTGTGTGACTTAAAGGTGGACAGGGCTCTCATCTCACAGATGAGAAGACAAGAGGCACAAAGCGCAAAAGACCTTTCAAGTCAAGGCTTGCACAAATCCAAAATCTACGGTCACCCAGGGAGCCTTGGCACCACTAAAAGGCAAGTCCTGCTTTCAGGAAGAAGTACTCCATTAGGGCATTTTTCTACTTGGTGGTTAAAAGAGAAAAGGCAGCAGCCAAGGAGGTGGCGATGCAGTGGCCTGTGAAGCCGGGGTGTGCAAATTAGTGCCTCTTGAGGGGTGGTTTCCCCTCAAAGCTGGTAGCGTGTATTAGCTTGGGGCTGATACAGTGAGATGCGGATGTGCTCCAGGTAGGCCAGTAGGTCTATCTCTTCCTGGTCTCTCTCACTTCTTTTTTAAATTAAGGAGTCTACTTGTGGCTAACTATAGAATAAGCCAAGTTAAATCCTTTCTGGAACAGGGCAGCGTGTAAATAAATAAATAAAGTGTAGAATGTCGCTGTGGAATAAGATTTAATTTAAAAGCCAGGAGGAGATGGAAGGAGGTAATAGGCTGAGGGATTCCCAGCTTCCAGACGGCAGGAGATCAGGTTTCAATCAGCCTGTTTGTGTTCCTTGCATTCACAAATGGTGACGCGGTCATTCTGTGGTACTTTACTCCTAGGAAGCCCCTGCCCTGTGACTTTACTAACTTATTTATAGAATTAGAGTCGGAAAGGCTAAAGTCAACCTGCTGGTAACTTTTTTTTTTTTTTTTTTTTGAGACAGAGTGTTGCTCTGTTGCCCAGGCTGGAGTACAGTGGTGCGATCTTGGCTCACTGCAACCTCTGCCTCCTGGGTTCAAGCAATTCTCCTGCCTCAGCCTCCTGAGTAGCTGGGATTACAGGCACGCACCATCACGGCTGGCTAATTTAGTAGAGATGGGATTTCACCATGTTAGTCAGGCTAGTCTCGAACTCCTGATCCACATGCCTCGGCCTCCAAAAGTGCTGGATTACAGGCATGAGCCACAGTACCTGGCCCTGCTGGTCATTTTTTAATAGAAATGGAATGACTTCTCAAGGGTCACACAGCCAGTTTATAGAAGTATTGTCACCAAGTTCTGAATCTAAGTTCTTTATCTTCGCTCCAAACCAGGGAAAGAAAAGAAGGATTCCCTATTTCAGGGGTGGAGCATAGATAGGAATGACCATAGAATTTATTGCCAAATCAGGACACTCAAAACTCAGTGAAGGGGTGTGCTATTATTATTATTTTTATTTTTGAGATGGGGTCTCACTCTGTCACCCAGGCCAGAGTGCAGTGGCACGATCTCAGCCCACTGCAATCTCCACTGCCCGAATTTAAGCGATTCTTCAGCCTCAGCCTCCCAGGTAGCTGGGACTACCAGCGTGAGCCACCACGCCTGGCTAATTTTTGTATTTTTAGTAGAAACAAGGTTTCACCATGTTGGCCAGGCTGGTCTCAAACTCCTGACCACAAGTGATCTGCCTGCCTCAGCCTCCCAAAGTGCTGGGACTACACTTTGAATCCCAAGTGCCCGGCCAGGGAATGCTATTATTAATTGCACCTGGATGATAAATCTTTTTCCTTCAGGATACTCAAGTGGGAAATCCTGGCTCTTCCAGTCCTAGGGCTGTCTGTGACTGCTCTGCCAGCTTGCTTTCTGCCTCTTTCTGGCTTCCTCTCCATGAAATGAGAGAATCTGCCTCAATCTCAGCAGTGTCAACTGAAAATCTTGACAAAACCCCTAACCCAACTATGTGAGGTGGCTCATGCCTGTAATCCCAGCAATTTGGGAGGCTAAGGAAGGAGGATTGCTTGAGCCCAGGAGTTTCAGGCCAGCCTGGGTAACAGCAAAACCTTGTCTCTACAGAAACATCAGAAAATTAGCCAGGCTTGGTGGCATGTGACTGTGGTCCCAGCTACTCAGGAGGCTGAAGCGGGAAGATTGCATGAGCCCAGCAGGTGAAGGCTGCAGTGAGCCAAGATTGTACCACTGCACTCCAGCCTGGACAAGACAGCAAGACCCCCATCTCAAAAAAAAAAAAAGAAACAAAAAAAGAAAACCACCACCCTAACCGCTAAGCCCCAGTCAGGTGACCCCTGTTTCTCAAGGGCTGCAAGCCCCCTTTGCACTTTTATCTTCAACATCTGGAAATAGATGCTTCCAAGTCATAGAACCCAGATGTTCTGACCCAGCACTAACGCAGTGGTTATGGTAGCAGGGCTCATCTGTGATTATGAACAAAGGCAAAAAAAAAAAATGGGGGGACAGCAACCTGGGTGGCAGAGATTGCAGTTAGCCGAGATTGTGCCATGCACTCCAGCCTGGGCGACAGAGCAAGACTCTGTCAAAAAAAAAAAAAA